GGAATCGCATGGACTAACCATGAAAGTGCTGAAACGGTGAAGCAACAGCGAAGCTCCCATAGCTACAAATCGCTACCATTTTGAAGGATTCATTGAACCAGAAATGTTCTGTTTGTTCGAAAAATTGCTCGGCGGGATGGCTAAACTTATTTAACATTTAGCCAATCACGAAAGCTTCAAGTTCTCTGCAGATGATTCTATCCTATTGAGCATTTAATTAATTTAATGTAAACAGGAAAAAAATGAACTTGCGTTTGATGTTAACCAAAACGCTCGGAGAGCCAAGCAGTGAATTGTCTGTAGGTCCCACACATTGGCTCTCCGACAAGTCTAAAAGAAAGTAGACGTGCAAACATTTTCTGAGCTACGCTAGTTGTTTTTAGTGAACCTGCAGTCCTAAAGTGTAATGTAACGTCAAGATGTTTCGCACCCTACAATTATATTCACTAGCGACCAACCGCAGAGAGTAAACTCGCATACTCGCTGAAAGCGAGATTAATAGGCATAGTCAATGACAGATAAGATTATTGCACGCAAATAATTAACTCGCAAGCGCAAGACCTCCTCTTACACTCTCAGCAAATTTCAGTGTTGGACAGTGTTGGACCGCATATAAGCCTGCAGACGCCATCTGAGGCGTTTTTCTTCCTTGCACGACTCGTCACGTTAGTCATACAAGAACCGTCTGCAGATATCTTCGAAGCGTAAATCCCCTTTTTTCATTTTTCCACTAATATTTTGCACTAATGACGTCTTGCATGTAAACTTGTTTTATTTGTTTGTATTCGTTTACATGCGTTTAAATTTCTTTGTTTATCTCGAATTCTAGTGTATATAATATTTAAAAAAATACTTTCAATGTTTCACCTCGTGCTTTACTTTCTTCCTACTAATATTACCAAATACACATTTCTTTTATTCTTCCATCCTTCAACTGTCACCCTCCTTCGTAACCATATATATATATATATATATATATATATATAATGGGAATGAGTGAAGATCGACAAGTGCAGCCGTGGTAATATTGTGAACGAAGAGGGGAGAAGGTGATTATTGAATTTATATATATATATATATATATAACGGACATGGTATATATATATATTGTGAGGGCGCTTCTGCGTAGCACTGCCCAAGGACATCGTCGTCGTCACTTTTGGCTGTGGGTGGCGCGATCGGCATCGTCAGCTGATTAGTGGCACCTTTTTTTGAAACGTTCTATAGCTATCAGACTCTGATAAAAAAACCGTCATCTGACCAACCTGTCTCTGTCTCACAACGTGGTGGAGTGCCGTTTAGCCGTTCTCATTCCACAGGGTACAGTTGTCGTGACTGCGACACCACACTCACCCGTTTCTCTGTGTTCTATATCCGTCCCTCAAACGAAATCTTTGCTTACCCAGAACTGTAAAACATTGTCTCTGCATACAACAATTAGCCAAGATCTTGACGAATCAAAAAAACGTCAACTTCTATCTTTGCTAGAGCAGAACAGAAAAATATTCGACATCGTATCACCTGCCCTTGGTCAAACCCACACGACAGAGCATCGGATCCACATTGAAGATTCTGCTATTGTTCATCGTCGTCCGTACAGGGTTTCCCCATCAGAGCGTTCCATAATCGAGGACCATGTAACTGAAATGGTGAAAAAGGGTGTAATTCGTCCTTCACGCAGTTCATTCTCGTCACCGGTAGTCCTGGTCAAAAAGAAGGATGGAGGCATTCGCTTTTGTATCGATTACCGCCAACTGAACAAAGTCACTCGTAAAGACCTTTACCCTATGCCACGCATTGACGACGCACTGGACTCCTTGCAGGGAGCTGAATATTTTTCATCTCTTGATTTACGGTCCGGTTATTGGCAGATCCCGGTTAATGAAGAGGACAAAGAAAAAACTGCGTTCGTCACACCGGATGGCTTATATGAGTTCAACGTCATGCCCTTCGGACTCTGCAACACGCCAGCGACTTTCGAACGCATGATCGACAACATCCTTCGAGGCTTAAAATGGAAAACATGCCTATGTTACTTAGATGACATTATAATCTCTTCTTCCAACTTTGAGGAACACCTTGAACGGCTTTCCCAAGTCCTGTCCTGTTTATCTGCCGCCAACCTCCAGCTTAATACTAAGAAATGCACGTTTGCGGCAAAAACAATTAAGATCTTAGGGCATGTCATCAGCAAACACGGTATCAGACCTGACCCCGACAAAATAAAAGCGGTTTCAGACTTCCCTCGACCACAACGCCAAAAGGAATTGCGAAGCTTTCTAGGTCTGTCGTCGTACTTCCGTCGTTTTATTCGCGGCTTTGCAACCATTGCCGCTCCACTTAACAACCTTCTTAAGAACAATTACACCTTTACCTGGTCTCCTGAGTGCGAATCTGCCTTCACATCCTTAAAAGCAGCCCTGACTTCCGATCCTGTCCTTCGACACTTCAACAACAACTCCGCCACCGTTCTCCACACAGACGCTAGCGGCTACGGCCTTGGAGCAATTCTTCTACAACCCGACGACTCGTGCGTAGAGCACGTCATTGCTTATGCGAGTCGATCTTTGAGCAAGCCAGAGCAAAATTATACAATAACAGAGAAGGAATGTCTTGCGGTGGTTTGGGCGATCGCAAAGTTTCGTCCTTACTTATACGGCCGTCATTTTTCAGTCGTCACTGATCATCATGCGCTCTGTTGGCTAGCCTCCCTAAAAAAATCTTTCAGGTCGTCTCGGACGCTGGGCGTTGCGCCTGCAGGAATACGATTATACAATTGTTTATAAAACTGGCCGAAAAAACCAAGATGCCGACGCCCTCTCACGATGCCCGCTACCTCAACCCTCGACAATTACGACTATATTAAATATTGAGACGAGTCCATCCCCGACAGAACTATTTGATGGAATAGGGATCGCCACCCAACAACGCCAAGACCCCCAGCTACGTAATATCATTGCCCAAATGGAAGGAACCTCACCTACGACAAACGCTCGCTCCCGACGCCAGCTCTTGCATTATCAGCTTCAAAATGATATTTTGTACCGTCGAAACTACTCGCCCCACGGACATCGTTGGCTTTTGGTTATTCCCCGTACTTTACATGCCTTGGTCCTTGAATCTCTGCACGACGATCCTACAGCCGGCCACTTAGGGCTCTTCAAAACTTACTGTCGTGTCAGAGAACGATATTTCTGGCCCGGAATGTACACCGCGGTGACAAAGTATGTATCTTCTTGTCTCGTATGCCAAAAACATAAGTGTCGCACATCTGCACCCACCGGCCAATTACTGCCACCCCGCTGCCCTTCACAACCTTTCGAGATCTTAGGAATTTACTTGTTTGGATCACTACCACGCACAGTCAATGGAAAACGATGGGTTGTAACCGCTGTCGACCACCTTACACGATACGCAGAAACAGCGGCTCTTCCAACTGGCTCCGCCACCGAGGTTGCGGATTTTTTCGTCCACCAGCTACTCCTCCGACATGGAGCACCCCGCGTGCTGCTCAGCGACAGAGGCCGTACCTTCTTGTCACAAACAGTGCAAGAGGTCTTAGCTGCTTGTGCAGTCATCCACAAAACAACATCCGCTTACCACCCACAGACCAACGGGCTCACTGAACGCTTTCATCGTACCCTTGCGCACATGATCGCAACGTACGTATCATCAGATCATACCAACTGGGATGCAATTTTACCATTCGTAACATACGCATATAATACGGCCATTCAAAGTACAACTGGGTACTCGCCATTTGAGCTCGTCCACGCAAGACAACCGACATCACTGCTCGACACAGTACTCGAGAATACTCCAACTGAGCCCCATACAACTCTCCTCGATGACCTCGTATCCCGTGCTGAAGACTCCCGTCAACTTGCGCGACTTCGCACTGTTCAACACCAACAGGAACGGAAAACCCGACACGACTCCATCCACAAGAACGTCAGCTTTCAACCTGGAGACCTTGTTCTCGTCTCGTTGCCAACACGCAAGGCCGGCCTCTCTGAAAAGTTAATGCCTCATTACATCGGTCCCTACCGCGTCATCGCTCAAACAACTCCTGTCAACTTTCTCGTGGAACCAGTACAAACACCCACCGATCGCCGCTACCGCAGCCGCGAACAGATTCACGTCTCCCGACTCAAACCTTTCACTCCCCGCTCAACGCCACCCCTTCCTTCCCTCTGTGGCCAGGTGGCCACCTTTCCGCAACCGGGGGAAAACTGTGAGGGCGCTTCTGCGTAGCACTGCCCAAGGACATCGTCGTCGTCACTTTTGGCTGTGGGTGGCGCGATCGGCATCGTCAGCTGATTAGTGGCACCTTTTTTTGAAACGTTCTATAGCTATCAGACTCTGATAAAAAAACCGTCATCTGACCGACCTGTCTCTGTCTCACAATATATATATATATATATATATATATATATATATATATATATATAACGGACATGGTATATATATATATTGTGAGGGCGCTTCTGCGTAGCACTGCCCAAGGACATCGTCGTCGTCACTTTTGGCTGTGGGTGGCGCGATCGGCATCGTCAGCTGATTAGTGGCACCTTTTTTTGAAACGTTCTATAGCTATCAGACTCTGATAAAAAAACCGTCATCTGACCGACCTGTCTCTGTCTCACAATATATATATATATATATATATATATATATATATATATATATATATAACGGACATGGTATATATATATATTGTGAGGGCGCTTCTGCGTAGCACTGCCCAAGGACATCGTCGTCGTCACTTTTGGCTGTGGGTGGCGCGATCGGCATCGTCAGCTGATTAGTGGCACCTTTTTTTGAAACGTTCTATAGCTATCAGACTCTGATAAAAAAACCGTCATCTGACCGACCTGTCTCTGTCTCACAATATATATATATATATATATATATATATATATATATAACGGACATGGTGGTGGGGGCGAAGGCGTGGGTTTAACTGAAAAGAAAAATATATATATATACCGTAGACCTACCTCCTCGACGTTCCTAAACCAGTAAGAGAGGTGGTTGAAGGAGTCCATGTTGGTAACGTCGTACATAATCAGGATCCCCTGAAATGATAGAAAAGGGGGGGGGGGGGGGGAAGAGAGAGAAAAACGACGAGGCGTTAGCTTAGGAAATAAAAATATTTCCCACGAACGTGCCAGAAAATATCGACAAGCAGCACGCCCAGAGCTGTTTGTACACTCTTCGAAACTTCCACGGAAGGGCTATTTTATCTCTCTGGCTCTTCCGCATTGGGCGAATATTGCTGATTTGTAGTTGCTAACGACTTCAAATCATCCTCGTCCCCCGTCACTTCAGATATGCCGCAAGGGTCTGTGCTTGGCCCTCTTCTCTTTCTCATCTACATTAATTACCTTCCTAACTCTATCAACTCATCCATCAAGTTGTTTGCTGACGACTGCGTCATTTTTCGAGTCATTTCTACTAGTTCCGATTCCTATGTGCTTCAGTCTGACCTTAACAAAATCTCTAATTGGTGTGATATCTGGGAAATGCGTCTAAATACTAACAAGTGTAAAGTAATGAGGATTGCGCGTCAGACCGTTTGTGGCAACATTTACGATTATCAACTTTCAGGCAGTGCACTTGAACAAGTAACGTCATACAAATACCTAGGGGTTCACATAACAGCTAATCTGCCTTGGCAAATGCATGTTAAACATATAGTAAATAACGCTAACCGCATGCTTGGATATTTGCGTCGTAACTTTTCTATGGCACCATCATTTTTAAAGCTTCTCCTCTACAAAACTCTCGTCCGCTCTAAACTGGAGTACGCAACTTCGGTGTGAGACCCAGGCCTGGAATTTCTTACTAATAACTTAGAATCGATACAGAATCGCAGCGCGCGTTTTGTCTTGTCGAACTACTCCCGTTCACCTAGTGTATCCTCTATGAAGGAAACCTTGAACCTTCCGAACCTCTCTCTGCGCAGAAAAATATCGCGACTCACGCTATTTCATAAAACATATTATTACAACCCGCACCTCAAAGCTGAACTTTTTTCAGAGCCATCATACGTCTCATCTCGTTCAGACCACCATAACAAAGTAGGCGTGCCACATTGTCGCACTTACTTGTTTTTCGATTAATTTATCCCAAGGACTAGTAACGAATGGAACCACCTGCCCGCCTCCATCGCAATGATTACCGACGATTTCACTTTCAGATCCGCCATTGAGTGTTATGTACTTTCTTAATAACCGGCGTTGTCTGCATTTTTCATTCTCTGTTTCAATTTCTGTATTTACTACCTGTTGTTTGTTTTTATGTTTTCCACCACTCCCTCCTGTAACGCCCCCTGGGCCTTGAAGGTACTGAAATAAATAGATAAAAAATAAATAATGACTTACTGAAGAGCACAAGTTGGTTGAACAATAGAGGGATGATTTATGTGCAATTTTGTGTAGAAACACGATTTACCCTGCTTTTGAACAGATAATATGTAGTTGGACAGATTATAAATAGCTCGAAGTTTTGTTTTTGTACCTTTTGATCGTCCATCTAACCTAATTGGTTCTAAAAAAAGTTTAAAATCTTACCTGCAACAATTTTTTTTTCACCGAGTTAAAAAAAGTAAGAAAAAATTGGTTCGACTTTTGCTTTACTTAAATTAGTAATTATCGTACATTAACAGTTTTGATAATAGTGAATCGCCAACCAAAACGTTTTTGGCAGTTTGCTATGTTGCATATCCAGACAAGGAATTTTCTTTCGTGATGGGATAGATGACACTCATTACCGTTCATTGCCCGATAAAGTTGGAGATATTTTCGCCGACTAGTTTAGCAGATGTTGCTCCGGTGACTTTCAATTTTTCCTAAAAGTCGGTTTAGTTAACTGTCCTGTCTCTGTGCGTTATATTTTGACGAAAAAACTGATGCTGTATGAGAACGGAAACCAAAGATTTTGAGTGGTGTTGATGGCGTACCCAACTTTATCATTAAAGATGCGGCGGTCACTCATTCCTGTCTTGAAACACTTTTTTAACCTTTCGCTTAGTTCAAGTGTAATTCCCTCCGTTGTTACAAATTATCGTCTTGTTTCCTTACTTTGTGGATTTTTTAAGGTTTTTGAGATTGTTGTTCATACGCGGTTTCTTTTTTACATTCATCAAAAATTAACAGTTTTACAGCATGTATACTTGAGTGGTCGGTCTGTGGAGACCAATCGGTGTACTTTTTTATTATTCCTGCGCGCCATTTGTCACGAATATAGGACAAGCTGATGCCATACATTTTTATATGAACAAAGCGTTTGGAAAAGGCTGTCACAAATTACTTTTGTACCAGCTATTCCTACATGGTATTTATCCAGAGTTATGTAATTGGTTTAAGAGCTTTTTGTTACTTTTCACGAACCCTGTTCGTGTTGTAGACAGTTTTTTTTTTTTTTTTTTTTCACAGCTTTCTTTCAACGCCTGTCATTCCTCAGGGACAGGTTCAGGGCCCTCTTTTATTTTTTTGTATTTATAAATAATATGGTGTCGTGTGTTGAAAGTTTCGAGTTGCTTCTTTTTGCGGATGAGTAAAGCGCCGTTCACACACGCAATCGAGTAAGACCGAGAGAGACCAGACCGGTTTTTAAGCCTCTTGCGACCTACGACCAGATGCGCTGCAGCGGCGCTGTTTCTAAAACGTCGCAAGAGGCTTAAAGACCGGTCTGGTCTCTCTCGGTCTTACTCGATTGCGTATGTGTGAACGGCGCTTAAGTTGTATAGCTTGATTCATCTCTTCAACTCTTTAGTAAGGTTGTGACTTGAATTTAGGTCCGTGAAATTAAATTTGTTAACAAAAACAGAGTGCATATATATTGAACTCATTTAGGCCTGATGCACGTTAAAGACCCCAGGCTAGCGGTGGTACTGCACAGGCTAAATTGCTCATTTACACCTGGGAGAGAAGTCGCCCGTTGAGGCAGACTAAGTTGTAGGTTGTATAAACGTACACACAACCCAATTTTTTTACCACATTTAGGAAAAAAATAATAATCCGTGTAGTTTATGACAGGTATTTTGAATGGCGTATTTACACTGAAACTATAGATATCAGATAGAAAAATGTTCTCCTTCACTTTAGTCCAAGAGAAGGGAGGCTCGTGAGTTAGGTTTTCTACATAAGGTTGCATATATATATATATATATATATATAAGTTCATTTCTTTTTGTCATGCAAAATTTTACCCCTTTTTCGGGTCCAGTCGCATTCTAACAGTGTCGCCACTCCGAATCTCCACATCTGTGGCTTCTGAGTTCCACTTCCTCTGAGTAATTCGCTCATTACTAACAAATTTATATATTTTATATTTGATACTATATATTTGTATTAGCGTGTCTCAAGTGTGATCCTGTATATATTTGTTTCTTAGTTAAAGTGTTTTCGTGAAAGTGTACCAATCTAAATATTTGGGCTTTTTTTTTTTTGGGGGGGGGGGCACTTTAGATAAAAAGTTTGTTCTTATTACTATTATTATTGATTATTACTATTAATATTGATCCTATTATTATTATTACTACTATTATTGGAAGACGACGACGACGACGATCGGGAGTGCACATTCCATCGGTGAGCTCTGCTATTTTTTCTTGTAAATATTGCTATATGGGTTTATTCTGCCTACGCCCAGCCCTACGACAGCTCTAAAGGATCCCTCGTCCGTAATAGATAGCATCTTGCGTTGACCAACGTACCGCTGAGCCTGAGTGCGATTGCTGACCCGACCGACCTGACTAGGCCTAACACTGTCTCTCACTTAGTACAAGGCTCCCGTCATGTCCCTAACCTGCGACGCTTGCTTAAAAGCCATTCTGCCCGACGGACGTCACATGACGTGTTCATCTTGTGGGCATAACCTGCACCTAGGAAAATCCTGCTCCGGTATCGCGGAGTCCACGTTTGCTGCCATGAACGCCGAGAAGAAGATAAAGTGGACATGCAAAATCTGCCGCACTAAGGGTGCTCGCTCCGGTGAGGAAGCAGTCGACGTGAACTCCGAAGTGAGGTCATTAGACGATCCCGGCCTGCTCGGAGCACAAATACAACTGATGAATCGGAAGCTAGACTCCTTCCCTTCCCTCAAGGTCAGCGTTGATTCACTCCTTGAGCTGCCCGCTAAAGTGAGCGAACTTCTGCTTCTCAAGCCAGCCATAGAACTGCTGAAAACCACCGTTGAAGAAGTGCAGATTTCGATCACGGCATTAGGCAAAAAGTACGAGGACCTTTTAAGCATGACAACTTCCCATGCAGAAGAAATGAAGGATCTGAGGAAGGAGATGGGAACGCTGAAAGCTACGGTCTCTGAACAGGAGCAAGTTATTCAGCGCTTAAAAAGTGAAATCAACGAGAGTGAACAACACACTCGCCTTCAAAACATGGAAGTACATGGCCTGAAAGTTGCTCCTAACGAAAGTCTTGACTCAGCCTTGACTGGGCTGGCACTCAAGCTTGAGTTGGCGGGGCATCAACCATCGGACGTCGTAACAGCATACAAGATACCAAACAAACGTGCCGAAACTCCAGTCATTTTGGTCAGGTTCGCTTCCGTTGACATCAAGGAACGCTGGATGCAATCACGCAGCAGGTTGAGGCAATCGTTTGGCTCCAGAACATCTGAACGAGTGTACTTTAATGACAACTTGACTCAGCCCAACAGAGAACTTTTTTGGATGGCTCGTTCTCGTGGCAAGGAATACGGTTTTAAATTTGTTTGGGTCAAAAATGCGCGAATATTTGCTAGAAAGGAAGAAGGCGCTCCACTGATAAAGATCTTGCACCGTAACGACATAGACCTCATCGTGTAATGGCTACGTTTTCTTTTTCCAAGTATGCCAATTTTAATTTGTTTAATGAATCGTTAGCAACCTCTCCTGATTCATTTACTGTTTTGCACGTAAACATTCGTAGTATTCGAAAATACTGGGACGAACTTACGGTTATCCTTGAAGATGTGAGTGGCCGAATTGATGCGATAGTTTTAACAGAGATAAATGCTAGTGCTGAATCTCTGTCACCGTATAAATTATCGGGCTTCCATGATTATTTTTGCA